CAAAGATAAACCTCACAGATCATTTGGTTGTCCACTTTGCCTGTATGGCACCAAGTTCAGCCAGACAATTCTTCCAAGTTTGGATCTTTCTTCTCCATAATTCCAATCCCTTTCCCTTGAGGACTTAGCTGATTTTCTGCAGGTGGCACTTTCCACATAAATTGCCTGCACTGGGCAGTTTTCCACAGAATGGTGCATTCATCTAAGAACCTTCTCATCTCTCAGCTCCTGTCAGTTTTGGTGTCGTAGATCTATCAGGACTGCCTTTACCTTTAGGCTCGCCGTAATAAATTTTGAAACTTGAGATTTTGACCAATTTTAGGCATTCAGTCACGGAGAATTGAAATAAATCATGACAGGCATCATAAACATGCTTCCCAAGGCTCAAGTTTTCAGCTCAATGATTTAGTTTGCCTCCTTTTCAGCTCTTTCCTTTCCTCTTTTACCCTTTGCTGCAGAAAGGCCATTTTTAACATTTTTCACTGGGGCTACCTCCAGGTCAAGGGTTACATGGACCAGGATTTCTTATTTTTCAAAGAATTATAATTGATACCTTAGATGTGTTACACATTCTTGAAAGCCCTTTTAAAACATCTTAAAACAATTAGCAGTTTTAAACATTTTAAATTAACTACAAATGCTCATTTCTATTACCGTTTCTATATCATAGACCATCACAGTATCTCTTCCCACCTCTCCACTATAGATGCCTTCATAGACATATCCTCTTGCCAGCCACAGCAGCACCAAAACCCTTATGCCTCATGCAGTGTTTAAGCATTTTATATCACATGAAAATGGCAGACTTTACCCTAACCACATACTTATTCAGGTATTTATGAACAATTTAATGAACACCAGATTAACTGTTTTTATTGATAGTACAGTGCACCATGTTCTCTAGAACATGGGAAAAAATGGCTTCTGATCTCTAATCTACAACAACTGCAAGTTGCATTTGTGAAAGGATGTTCCCAATGATGGGGGTGTCCAGAACCAGGGATCGCAGTCTGAGGATTCGGAGTAGACCATCTAGGACAGAGACAAGGAGACATTTCTTCACCCAAAGAGTGGTGAGCCTGTGAAATTCATTACCACTGGTAGTTGATAACAAAACATTGAACACATTCAAGAGGCAGCTAGATATAGCACTTGGGGTGAATGGGATCAAAGGTTATGGGGAGAAAGTAAGATTAGGCTATTGAGATGGTCGATCAGCCATGGTCGTGATGAATGGCGGAGCAGGCTCAAAGGGCCGAATGGTCTCCTCCTGCTCCTATCTTCTATGTTTCTGTAACAGTAAAGTGTTCCAAGATGCTTCAAGGGAGCATTGGAAAAATAAGTTGATACTGAGCCATAAAGAAAAATTAAGACAATCAAAGCTTGTGCGAAGAATTCAGTTTTCAGGACTGGGTTAAAGGAGGAAATAGAGGTATTCAAACAGGAGTATCTAATGAGAGGATTCCAAAGTTTAGGGCCAAGGCTTCTGAAGACAAAACTGTCAATGGGGAAGTGAGGACAATCAGAGATGTGCAGAAAGCCTGAGACTGATTTTGTCAGCCAAAGGTATAAAGGATATGAGGAGAAAATGCATAATTGGAATTAGATTATAGATTACGCATGATAATATTGAATGGAGCGACAGGCTCAAGGGACTACGCACATAATTGCTGTTCCTTTGTTTCTAGAATTGGAGGAGCTCAGAGATCTTGAAGGGTTGTAGGTTTAGCTTGTGTCCTTATCATCTTGTCTGCAGCTGGTCATGGTGCTGGGTGCCCACAGAAGTAAAGCTTTCCTGTTGGGCTCTCATCTGATTCTTGAGTTGCAGAATAAAATTGAGAAATGAATTCACACTCATTTTTGTGGCACTTTCATCAGCTCTGACCATTACAACTGCTTGATGCCCACAAAAATGTTCACAAGGTTTATTATCTATTTCATTCTGATTCTCATGCTACACCAGAGTGCTCCATTTTTAAGGAATGCTAAATAGCACTAAATTGCCTTTGCTGTTTGAGCCGGGAAGAAGAAACAACAGGGGAAAGCAGTGCCTGGAGACTTTGAACAATTCTCTCTTTGTAGTTAATTTTGTAAAAATTATGGTGAGAGAGCAGCATTATTGGAAACAAGTTGTAGCTCAATATCAGTAATCACAGTTCAGAGTCCATTCAGTGGGAAGCCTCACTGTCCATGCAGAAACGTGTCAGGTTGAATTGTACCTAATTATATCATTCACAAAACTTCAAAGACAGGAGAATGGATATTCAAGAAGCCTTCAGAGAATCAGTGGATCTCAAATACTCAGTTCTCATCACTGACTGCACACGTCTGATTTCCCTCATCATTGTCTGCATCTTTCTATGATAGTAGATTATGAAACTGAATAGATATTGTTCTTTCATCATCTTTTATTTGTTTAAATGAAAGAGTGATTACAATTTAAGGAATCATTATCAATTTAATTTCTTGCAAGAGCAGGTCACTACTAGGTCTGGTAAATTTTAGACATCATGTCCCATAGTGAATCATAGCTATGGGAGTTTTCTCTTCAATTTATTGAACATCTGCACATTCAGATAGATTAAATGAAAAATAAAACAGGAAAAGAGCCCAGAAGTTAATACAAAACACATTTAAAAAAATAAAAAGGCCCCTTTAATTGGACCTCATGAAAGTTGTCTCTATAAACAGTTGGATAGACAAATTCCATATTTTGAAAACAGAAGGAAAAGTTTTGCACTCCCTTGAGTTACTTGGGCAATGGTGAAAAACATGGGAGCAATTCATTGAAAATGGAAAAATTTCAGATTCTCAACTTCTGAGGAAAAAAAATTCTAATTTCAGTCAGTCAGTTCTAAACCTGAATAATGAGAAGTTACTACCTTATTCCCAGGTATTTGCATGCCATTATTAGATAAACTCACTTCATTTCTATGCAGCTCCCAATTTTCCTCTCCTTTTCTAAGAAACAAGACGACACCAAATCCTGTCACGGAAATCAGAGCTGCTACCTGGCAGTAGCTTGCCATTTGTTTGGGCAGCTATTCCTAGCAGGCCAAGGCACTGTGAGCGACAGCGGACATGTGAAATGCCCATTGTACATCTCTCAAACTTGAATGGCAGTGCACTCCCTTGAACATCTGATAGAAGGAAACATTCCCTCCAGTGGTCTATGTACTCTCACTCGCAAGGTGGTTATAGCTGTGGGTGATTTGTGCAGGGCAGGCCCTAGCTGCTGTGCCTTGGCTGTGGTTGAGAATATCGGTGACACCCAATGCCCCATGCCGTCAAGGAGTCAGTTTCTTGTGAGGGGTGAGCAATGCTTGGCCATTGCAACTTCTTTCAATCTTGGGATGTGTGAAGAGGCTGCTAGTCTCTCAAATGGGCACAACTTCACCAGTTCTGACAGTGACAAAGACCACTGGAGCAGACACTTCAAGAGTGCAAATGAAGATATATTTACAAAAGTGCAGAATTATTTACAATGAAGTGTTACCCCTGCAAATTGTGTTTGTTCAGTAAGACTTTTTTGCTTTGGTTCTTTCCATATGCCTTGCTGCAGTCTCGGCTTCCATAGTTGAATCTGATTTTTTAATTGAACCTGTTGGCCTGCAAGACCTGAGAGGTCAACCCTCTAGACATTTGGGCCTAGAAAGAGCCCAGGCCTGCAGAAAGTTCCCTGCCCAGATGCAGGCTCTCCCTCCCCAGCTTGGACCTGTCCAGGATTTGGGACACAGGCAGTGGCAGAATTCCAGTTTGTGGTGGCCCTAGGAGTGTGAGGTAGAAGAGAGAATGTAGTGACACTTACCACTGTGGAGCTCAGAAGATCATTCGACTTTTTCCTGCACTGTTGTGTGTTCTGTTTTGCCTGATACACAGCAGTGACCGAGGCTTCTCTCTCTCATTCTAGACTGGCTGGGTCTGGTGATGCGTTCTCTTATGGCAGTCAGCAGGAAAAAGGATGACTCTCTTCTCATCCACCCCATCCACCTAAAGTGCATGTGAACTTTCTTTTCTGGACCATGTCCTTGCTAATAATGGTGGATCACCACAATATGAAGCCCAATTACTGACTTGCAATGTCTGAAGTGCTGAGGGTCTGGGCCTTAATATGATGCCAGCGCATGAACAATATGAAGTCACGGCTGTAGTAAACATGTCCATCTCTTTTCTGCACAATTCCACAAGATAAACACCAAAGAAGCTAGTTACGTGATTAATAAGTTGAAGATTGCATGAGAACAGATAACATGGGGCATGACAGACTGGCTGCCATAAATCTCACTCGAAAAAATATTTGCCAAGAAATGGGAATATTTAGCCCAGAGTCTGAGTCAGTCTCTTAAACCTGGATTAGTGCTGGATGCCTTGATCACAAGGGAGAATTCAATAACTGGTACTAAAAATTGGGGTCTTTTAAACAGTTAATTGAGACCTGTACTTGTTATTCTTGGTTAAAATAGTCATGAAAAATGTTTCTTTTCTGTTCAATCAGTAAAGGATTGTTTACAGTTAAAGGTAGACAAATTTATCTTAATTATCCATGAAGGAATGGATTTAGAATTCTTGCCTCAGAAGTCCTCCAGCAAAACCTCCAAGAGTTAATTCTTATCTAATGCCCAACCAAAATATGTATATCAATTCATATTTCTCAAACTGTTAGGATCCATTGAGTAGGATGTGCTGTTACTCTAGCCCAAGTATGCAACTCCTCTGTAACAACAGATACAGATCTTCAAAACAATTCACTGCCTGTAAATACTTCTAGGAGATATGATAAGACAGTGCCCTTTCCCTTTGTAAACCAAAATTTTCAATCTAAAATGGCAGGAGCACAAATTAATTAACCAGTGACTGCAAATTTTCTGTTACTTAAGACTCTTTGGGGATCTGCTTGTCCATTTGATCAAAATAGAATTTTCGTCTTTCATTATTCTCTATAAGTAATATCTCTGCTAGCTTATTATAAAGCTTTAATGTTAATTATTTTTGCATTTCAGGTGGACCTTTTCCTTTCCATTACTTTGTTGGAACGTAATTCAAAGAACTTCTATGAATGCATCAATGGTTTGGAGCTCAAGCCTGAGTGTGTGAACATGCAAATATGTTGGCCTCAACCACAAAACTAATCAAAACCCTTCCTTTTTCACCTGGACCAGATAGTTCCTATCTTATAGACCTCTCACCCAACCATAACAGATATTGTTACTTTTATTCTGTTTAAAACCTCATGCTGTATTTCTTTGCCAAGTGACATTAAACACATTACTAAAGTTCTAAATTTGTGGAATTTAAACCGAATAGTATAATATTTGGTTCATAGATTAATATACTCCAAATTTAACTAATCATGAAACATTCAATTACCTATGTTGGGTCACTGGAGGATCCATTGGTGAGTATCATGGTTTACATGTCATGCAGCAGGTGAGGAACTCCTTCCCCTGGAGTACTCAAACTGGAGAAGTAGCACCCACCAAGATGCTAACCATTCCAGCATCTCTAACAAACCCAGGTGGAGGCCAAGTTCAAACAACTGAAGGACTGTGCAGAAACCTGAATGTCCACCCAGCTACCTCTAAAAACACCATCTGCCCAACTGTGTCAGTGTGCTTAGATGCAGCACTGGATGATTCAGACATCTAACATCCTAACATTCCAGAGTTGAAGAAAGTCATCCTCAGTTTTAATGATTTTAACCCAGTCACCTTGTTCCTATTTTTCCTAATCAATCAATTCAGAGATGTTATTACACACCTCTGGGGCAGCTGGGACTGGAACCTGGGTCACTTGGTCCAGGGATGGGGACACTACCACTGTGCCACAAGAGGGCCCCTATCTGGGTCACCAGTCACCTTGTTATAAGGTTTTGACACCACCCACTGCTCATGTATATATAATGGCAGTGGGAGGAGACCCTTAAATGCCATATTTGACACTTACAGATCTAATTGGCCTCATAAGCTTTCAGGCCACTTGGTAACTGCTGGCTGCAAGCAAAATCCTAATAGAAGTGGGTAGGTGACAAACACAGCAGAGCCATCACTACCTCCCTGTTATGTAATGTTCCATGGTCAATATGCCAACATATCATGTTCATGATATTATCACTGCATCTTAGCATATGATTTGAGGTCATAACAATCTATCAAACTTCAGATCAGTTAAGGCATGACGCACTACTGGACGCATGCTGGAATGTAATAGCATAATGTTACTGCAGACACTTAGAGATCTGAGGAATGTAATGTTTATACATAATAGTAATAATGTCGGTGGATTCTTCAGTACCACATTATCCACACCCAGTTGCTTATGTTATGAAAGACTAAATAAGCATCACCACAACAAATAAAACACCACACTGGATGCCACTTCATACTATGTTTGCAGCACTGCCCTCTAGAAGAAAAATACTCCAATAGCTATATAGTTGATCTTAAATTAATTTTCCAAATATCTATCAGACTACTGAGAATTTTGAACAAAAAAGGAGTTTCCCACTTCTATGCAGCATCAATCTTGTGACTACAGACAGCTGTACAGACCTGTAGATAGAGCATTAACCTCTTAGAAAATGGATCTAATTAATATTTGATTAGAATATAAGTTTTTTCAATACAGAAGGAATTTCTAAGATGCCTTAATAAATAGAAAGAACAACATAAAAAAAGGCTGTCAGGCACTTTTAAGCTTCAACACAATATAAGTACAATGCAGTACAGAAGCTGGAAAAATGCTTGGTTCCTGAAAATCAGTACATAAATAACAGTTTTTCACAACAGCAAATGCAGAGCCTATGTTCTTAAGGAATAGTCTTCAACTTTGCTGACAAAACCTTTGGGCCACACTGTTTAGGTCCAATCTTTTCTATGCACTGGACATCCAATGAGACCTCCACTGAATCACAACTATTCAAACAATATACGCAGTTCAATGTTACAGATCAATTGATAGATGATCCTGAGAAAAGAGCTTCAAAAATCTCACCTGTCATTGGTAAAGAGGATCTTCACAGAATTAGCACATCTGGTCTTTCCTAAGAGTCTATTGACCACTTTGTCATAAGATGCCACAGCAAAAGGCATGAGTGTGACTTTTCTGTAGATGATCTGTCAAAGAAATTAATTGAATTAGTCATCACATCATTCCCAACTAATGCTTTGGGAGGCATGTTTTGGGCAAGTCAAAGGGCCATACCATTGGCACATTACTTGAGGATGAATGCAAGTACAAAGCCATAATGAAACACCAACAATAATTACATGCAATAGGTCACGATTTCCCAAAGTGAGTTTGCAAGCTTAAATGTTGGTGTCTTGAGCTCTAAGGCAACAATGGCCATCAATGGAGCTCTAACCAAGTTAAAATACTTGTGCTCCCTCTTTAATAGACCTCCTCTTTCTCAGTTCTCACTGAGGGGTTGAAACAATTTTAAAGCTTCAAAATTGGATCACAATGTGAACAATTTGAGAAGTACTGATTTAGGTGCAGCCATCTCTAATTCTTTGCCTAGCAAAGCACACTAAACCAGTAGAATCTGTTACAGATGTGGTTTGAGCACCTACCCAAAATTTCTTGACATCTGTATAATATGTGACATGAAAGGACATTGGGCAGGCCTGTTCAAGATGTCTAACATTAACCAACAAGCCAGACCCCAGAACAAACCACACGAGACCAACAAGATATTACCATATCATAACACTGGCAGCAATGAAAGTGTTAAGAAGGCGTACACGTGAAACCAAATCAATAAGGTTCAGAGTTAACCAAGAGAAAGGAAAATTTCAGAAGACGGCTAAGTTTTCCATGTTGCAAACCTGACACACAATGTCAAAATTGACACAGGAGCTATTCACAGCATATAGCAACTGTGCATCCTGAAATATCTGTAGATCAGCAAATGGCACTTCAAGTACAGTTTATGAGATACATCATTAAATGATCACTAATTCTGTGCCCAGGTGGAATCATGCAGCAATGCCAATAGTAAGCTCCTCTTGACTTCCTGAAACCTACAAAGGTAATATCAACAGTCCAGCAATGGCAGAATTATTAGCAAGCACAAATCTCAATATAGTCCTAACATCTGGGAAATCATTTGGATGATACTGTGCCTGATCATTATCATTTGAGCTATCAGTTAGCCAAGACACATTTCAGCAGCACATGAATAGTATTATTGAGAATGCATCTCTATGTTGTCATTGGTACAAGAAATGCAGAGCACAACCATAATCTTCATTCATAAATGACAGCAATGTGACATTAAGGACAAGCATTTAACAGATCATAAATGCCAGGTCAATGTTAACCAGGTAAACTTCTTGGATCTATTTACTTTGCCCATGGGATCTGTACCAATCAAAGTTAGATTGAGGTAATTAAAAAATTTAAAATAAAGAGGATCTGCAACATTGCCTCAGAGCTTTTAATTTTCTCTCAATGCATATTCCCATCTTTGCAAACAAAATATTTTCTCTGCGAAATTTAAACAAGAAAGCTGTCTTCTATCTCTGGCAAGACAACTGTCGATACACTTTTGATCCTTTCAGCAAGTTTCAGTCAGAAAAATTCTATGACTCCAAGAAAGTCATGATTCTCCATAACGCATTGCAGAAAGGACTAGGTGATTATCTTTTTTAAAGACAAGAAACCTTTCGCTGTTGGTTCAAAAACCATGTTCTGTGCACAACTATTCCAATATAAGGCATAAGACAATAACTCTGGTATTCAGCATCATGCAAAACACATACTTATTTGACAAGAAATGCAACATCGAAACAGATTATATGCCATCTGATAGGATTTGCAGCAAACTGTGGAGTGCACCTACATGTTTGCAGTGACTACTTGTCAAGTTGCAAGGATATGACTTTGAAGTCCGATAAAAGCCAGGTAGCAGGATGATTTTATTTAATTTGTTGAACAGATTATCCAACTCACACAAGGTCTAATATGTTCATTTTTATCTACACAATGATGCTTTGGACTATGAAGCTGAAGATGTTCTCAGGGGTGATACATTGCCAATGTGAACAGATGCAATTAAGAACTGCCAAAAGTGAGCAATTATAAAAGTTGCAAAAGATCATTATTCAAGGATAGCCTGTTGGTCTTAAAGATGTTTCTGAGACGATTCCTTCATTTAGGACATTCAGAGATGATCTTTGTGTATCACAGCAAGTCATTTTCAAGGGCAAATAAGTCCTGATGCCAAAACCAGTAAGGCAAGTCATCATTTCCATGTCACACCATGGACACAAGGGTATTGAATACACAAGCTGGCTAGCATGTGAATCTGTGTATGGGCCAGGGATGAATCAATGAGTTCTGTATGCATGTGAGTCATGCCAAATGTATCAACCCCAACAATGAAGGGATTCTCTATCTCTATAGAATGGTCCATCTATTCCTGATGAAAGCAGCAACAGGCATATTCATAGTGTACAGGAACAATGTATCCTGGTGATGGCTTCCATCTCTAAATTCCCCATTCTTTGGCAATTTAGTAATACAGAAAATGCAATGAAAGCTGATACAATTGACTCTATTTTCACTTTATCTGGTATCCTGGAGCTAATAGTATCAGACATTGGACTGCAGTATACTGGTAAACCATTTCAAAACACATCTCCCAAGTGAAGAGTGACAAATATCATATTGTCACCCCACTGCACAAATGGCCCAGCAGGATGTATAGTACATACCATCCAATTAATGAATATTAAGTATCAAGCAACAAATCAAGATTTACACATTGCATTGTTGCATTTTCAAGCAACTTCAATAGAGAAGAGGCTACCACCTTCAAAACAGCTAATGTTTGGAAGGTAAATGCAAAGGACTTCACCCAGAAATCAGTTGTTTAACTATTCTGAGACTCAGGACATTCTTCTCCAAAGACAGAGGAGAATGAAACACATTCACAATAAGCAAGCAAGTAGAGAATGATAAAAACTATGCACTGGGCAGAGTGCGCATAGAGATACAACCACAAATACAATTACAAATAGTTGGATACCAGTAAAGATTTCAAAATTATGTAATCAAATCATACAACATCATTACTGATCATGTTAAATTGCAAGGGAACAGAAGCCAGAACATACCAATCATGCATAGAGAGATTGAGGAAGATCAGACTGGCAATGAGATTGTAGTGATGTTGAGTGACAGCAACCGGCAGCAGAACAATCAAGTTCATCAAACAATTAAAACAGAGACCAACGCAGACCTCTTTAGATATTTTGAATGTACCTCTCGGATATACGGTCA